ATCGGCTCTGATTAATAAAACTTGGCACGTTTTACTTAATAAAAACAACAGACATTTCTGAAGATATCTGGATTAATTACTGGCAAGATAGAAGAGTTTTAAAGATGGGAAATATGGAGGAGTTTAAAGGAAGATGTGGAGGAAGATTTATGTCTGTAGACCAGAACAACACGCTCCTTTCAAACGCAGCTCGCCATGGTACACTTGTAGTGAAGCTCGTGACGACTCTTTACCTTGGCAGAGGATGGGTCCGCTACGGTCAAGAGGTCCCTGGCACGCTACCTTTCAGCGTCTCCTCAGGGTGGCTGCGACTCGGCAGAAGTCGTGAGATACTCCGCTCCACAGAACAAACTTCCTCAGCAGTTATAGGGCATTCGCCTGGTGGAGTCACAGCGAGGCGTCGTGACTCCTGCAGAGATGGATGACTCCATCTGACTGGAAACTGAGTCCGAAGTTCCACTCAGCAGTGGAAAAACTCCAGAACTACTCCACAGTACTCCGAGAGACTCAGAAGAACTTCAGAAGAACTCAGAGGAACTCCGAGGAACTAACGGAACTCCAGCCGAACTCAGAAGAACTCCAGAAGAACTCCAGAAGAACTAACGGAACTCACAGAACTAACAGTTCCAGGAAGTGTCGACTTTTAAAGAGTTCTGCTTCTGGTCACTTTTAGTAAGTCCTTTTAGTAAGTCCTGATTGGTTGAAGGAACCAACAGGGGTGTGGTTTTAGTGACGTCAAAGGGTTTTTACAAGTCGAGAAAACAGCAGAAATGTTTAGGAACAGACAGAGAAAGTTTTGACGAAGTGAGAAACACTGCAGGTGCCAGTTCTCTTGTTTACTGTCTGAGAGCTTTAAAAACACGTCAGCTTGTTCCAACAACTTGTTTCTTGACTGTCTTCGACTTTTGAACGAGATCACTACTTCTCATTTCAGACAGAAGATCAAAAATGCATAATTACTTTGTAAAATAGACATTTTAACTTGATTTCTAATTTAAATGAGGATTAAAAAAGCATTAATACTGTTTCACAGTTGATTTAAAATGAGTGGTTCACTTCAACATTTAAAAATGGTATGAACTAACACACTTTTGATTTATCAAGATTTTGTAAAATAGTAACGATAATATAAAAAAAGAGAGTGTTCTTTCAATTGATTAGTTCAGGATACAATAAGAAAGTCTCTGGATGAGCTAATTTGTATTTCTGGATTCAAATCAATGAAACAACAGTTCCTGTCCCATGAAGGTCTTCAGAGGCAGGTTTTGATCGGAGGCCTAGTTCACAAGTCAAAGAAGGTAATCTCACAACGGTTTAGGTAATTCCACACTGTTGTTGGTAATTCCATAATGTTGTTGGTAATTCCATTGTAGCAATGCTTTAACCTATTGGAAACAGAGTCTGTAATCCATTGGAAAAAGTCATATAATCCACAACGATAAATCCACAACGATTGGAGGTGTTAATTGATCAGCATGCAGAGGGGTTCCCTCGATTGAACTGCAGAGGCGACCACTGGATGAAGATTGGAGACCCACGTTGGAATTGTAGGTCCCTTCAGCGAAGGTTGCTGCTGGTGGTTCCCAGTGGGTGCCATTCTGGTTCTATGTGTTATGCATTTATGTCGTTTTAGTTGGGCTTATGAGTGGGATTTTACATAAGACCTTAACCTATATGCACCTGGTGTGTAAGCTATAATGATTTAAATCAGCTAAAGTTACCAGTTTAAAGGGTGGGTCATGCTGAAAATTTTTCATATAGGGATTTATACCTATAGAAGGGCATTCCAAACTATTTTTCCATTCCTAACTTGGTTTAAGTTAGATTTACATGGCAAAATATAGTTTGGTTCAATTGTCTGTTGTCCTTTTAGACGAACGACTTGAGGTTTGGTTTTTTGGTTTTCCCCTAAATGTTTTGGAGTCTATGGTGAGACTCAACTGAAGGATTAGCTAGCTCCCCCCCCCCCCCCCCCCCCGAATAGGAATGTTCGAATAGGTTCGGCTTGAGCATCATGAGACCAATGTAGGTTATGGTACTTAAGGTAGCATTAATCGACATTGACTCCTCAAAGATTGAGTTTTAACAAATGAACTGCAGGTTGGCATAGTTAAAGTTAAAGTCTCTAACCAAAATACACACAAAATTCATTCTTGCTTGGGGTGTTCAGAAACAATACCAAAAACCAATTAAACGATGTCTCAACATCGACACAAACAGTGACTAAGCAACCAGAAAAACAACGTTTCAACATTGACAAAAGTAGTGATTAAGCAACTAGAAAACGACGTTTCGGTGCGTCACTCACTCTGAATGTCAGATTTGATCACTTTATAGCGTCTGGTAACATCACCCTAACTAACTTCACCCCCCTGTAGTCATGGGGGACCACGAACACGGGTGAGGACGTCGCTCCATGAGCTAAAGTTAGGTTGTCCTTGAGTAGTTTTAGCTGTTTGCGCAGCTGAAAGAGGACTTCAAGGCCTGGATTGGATTCCAGGTTGGCTTCGGGCGGAGTGTTTTTCTCTTGGTCAGTCAAAGACAGCATCATCGAGTTAATGCAGGATCCAACTTCTGAAGTTGGATGATGTCTGTGTCAGTCAGCACGGGTTGTACAGAGACTGTGTTGTCAGCCGGCTTGGCTGTAGCCTGTGCACGTCTGCCATTACCTCGGCTGTAGGTTGTACTGGCAGAGTTGCGAGCAGCCAGGAGGGGTCAAAGGACCTCTGAGGGCCGTCCACGGCTCCGTCCTTGATAGCTGGTTTATCTGTCCCCGACGACAGTACAGCATCTTTGGTGTGGGATCCTTGGATCTCTACACCTTAAACTACCAATGGTAGGTAGTATCCGGTGGGCCCTGACTGTTCCAGCTCGCAGAGGAGGCTTAGTTGTTAAGTCAGAGTCGGTTTCACTGGTTGTTATATATATTTGTTCCTATTTTTGTATAAATTATAAAATGATGCAAAAATATTTGATACAGTAAAGAACCTAAAATTATTGTTGTAAATAAATGTTCTATTTATTTACATTGTTGTTTAATATTTTCAGCTTGTCAGTTGCATTTACATTATAACTGAAACAAAATTTATAACCATTTCAATAGAAAAATCAATTTTGAATCGTATCGTGACACCAAAAATCGGAATCGAATCGCCATACACAAGAGAGATTCGCACCCCTAATTCGCACCACATGTTGTACATGGGGTGGAACGAAATTATGTACACAGGGTCCCAGTTACATCCAAAAATAAAATGTAAAAGAAAAACAATGATAACATCTAAGATATGAACAATGAAAACCATCAACTAAAATACACTAAGCACTAATAACATAAAAACATTATGTCGAACAGTAGCACGAACATGAACATGAGTCTGTGTGAGCAGATGAGCACGCATGAACACATCAATATGAAACAGATCAGCAGCAACATGATGTGACTTTTCACAATGATTGTCCTGGTTAGAGATTCATGAGTCCAACAGCCTCGGGGTAGAAGCTGTTCCTAAGTCTAGTGGTTATACATTTAATGCTCCTCAACCAGGGCAAAATGTGTCTGTGTGCTGGGTGAGTGGGGTCCTTCATGATGCAGGTGGCCCTCTTCCTGCATCTGGAGATGATGTGTGTGTGTGTGTGTATATATAGGAGGAGTGGTGGCGCAGAGGTTAGAGAAGGTTGGCCTGTGATCGGAAGATCGCCGGTTCAAGCTCCGGTACCGACAACATAAAAAATGTGGGTGGGATAGGTGAAGCACCCACACCTGCCCCCACCCTCATTCGCCCCACTCTGGGCCCTTAACCCCCACCATCTGCTCTTTAAACAGGTCTCTCTTGAAAATGAGTTCTCGTGGCTCAATGAGACTACCTGGATAAATAAAGGTAAAT